AGTGCTGTGGCATTACAGTTCACAGCAACCTCCAACTCCTGGGCTCAAGCGAGTCTCCTGCCTCCGCCTCCCAAGTAGCTAGGACTACAGGCGCCCACCACAACGCCTGGTAATTTTTTTGTTGTAGTTGTCATTGATGTTTAGCTAGCCCGGGCCGGGTTTGAACCCGTCACCCTCAGTGCATGTGGTCAGCACCGTGACCACTGTGCTACGGGTGCTGCCCTACACTTCTTTTTAACTCTCACAGTGGATCTAACTCTAAGTTCCCATTGAGAGGAAAGTGGATTAAGTGGAAAACAAAACCTATGCAAAGGGTATAAAGCACCAGGTGGATGGTGCCTGTGGCTTGGCCATTTAATATTTTCGTTTTGTATTTTAGAGACACCAGGAAACCTACCGTGGCACTATCTGCTGTGGGTGAGTATGTACTACCCTGGATTGTCTGCCCAACATTCCTTTCCACTCCTTCCTCCATGGCTGGTTGAATTGTAAGTCCCATGTTGCAAAGGGCTTGCCATAGGCTGCTCTCAGAACTAAGAGTTAGGACTGTCCAGTGTGGCTCAGGAACTTACTTCAGAATTCAAGGACAAGAACCAAGTTGATTTGTTTCTAAAATTTTTGCTGTGGAAAATTTCACGTGTTTATAAAATTAGAAAACATGACCTGCCTTGTGTTCATCATCAGCCTCAACGATTGTCTCTGTGCGTCCAATTTTATTTCATCTTTACCTCCACCCATTGTTTCCCCCCCACCATCATCCCTCTTGTGATTTGAAGCAAAATGCAGGGATAATCATTTTCTCAACAGATACTTCTGTATGTAGTTTTGTAAAAGAATCCCTTCCAAAAAAAAAAAAGCAACCACAATACCCGACCTAAAAATATCTAATGTACCTAAAAATATTGACTGTAGCTTTTTACTATCATGAGATATCTAGGCAGTATTCAGGTTTCCCCAATAGTTCTCTCTTCTTTGCTTTTTTTCCCGCAACTATTTGAACATTTGTTTGAGTTGGAATCCAAATACAGTCCATACCTGAAGTGGTTAAGATGTTTCTCATCTTCTCTAGGTGGTAGACATCTCTTTCCTCTCCTTTTTGGGTTTGTTTTCCTTTTCCTGCAGTCTATTCATTAAAGAGACCAGATTGTTTGTCCTGTGTTTTCTCTACAATCTAGAGTACGCTGATTGCGTCCCCATGGTGTCATTTAATATGGAATGGATGAACTGAGTCTTTGAAATTACTTCCTAATCTACCTGTTTTCATTTTTAGAGTTGACTATTTTTGGAATTCTCAATTGGGGTTACTAGGGAATATTCGCACCATATCCTGAGAGCAGAATATGGGTCTAGAACTAGTATAATTTATTCACGGGGTAAACCAGTATTTTGGCATCCTGGATAAAAACATGTATTTTCTGTCTCTTAAATTCTATTCTTTTGTGACTTATTACATTTGAGTACACATTTGATGTTTGCTCTAAAACAATTACTCTACATGATTCTTCTGTTTTCCTCTGTCCCTTGTGCCTTCTGTTTAAAGGCATTCAGCATCATGATTATATTAAACAGCTGGATTATCTGATCTGTGAGGTTAGGGACCACACCTGTCTTGTTCTGTGCTATGGACTAGTCTCTTTGTTTGAGCACTGTAGGCATTTGTGCCTGATCCAAGGAGATGCTTACTACAGTAGTCCCCCCTTTATCCTTAGGGGGTTATGTTCCAAGACCTCATTGAATGCCTGAAACATCAGATAGTGCTGAACCTCATATATGCTATGAGTAACTGGACCTGCGGAAAGCTAGCCTATGAATAAGGGGAGACTAAATGTTTGGTGCATGGATACAGGAATCAAACACCTGTGCTTCTCTGCTAAGTGCTCAACAATTCTATTGATTTAGTCCCTGCCACCCCCATAGGTGCTTATGATCTGAGACATAGACTGGCTGCAGAGGACACACAACTGAAAAAAAGATACAAGTGGGCTGTAATGCCTAAATTGCATTTCCCTGCCTTTATTTATTTACACTTATAGGTTTCTAAGTTAGATTGGCTTCAGAGGAACCCTAAAAAGGAAGGGGTTCGTTCTCTTTTATTATTATTTTTTTTTTGAGACAGAGTCTCACTCTGTCGCCCTGGGTAGAGCGCGATGGCATCACAGCTCACAGCAACCTCAAACTCTTGGGCTTAAGCAATTCTCTTGCCTCAGCCTCCCAAGTCGCTAGGACTACAGGTGCCCACCACAATGCCCAGCTATTTTTTGTTGCAGTTGTCCTTGTTGTTTAGCTGGCCCAGGCTGGGTTCAAACCTGCCAGCCTCAGTGGTGCCATAACCACTGTGCTACAGGCACCAAGCCAGGAGTTCATTCTTTTAAATCACTTGTTCTAACTGCTTTGTTTCCTGTTATAGGTCCTTTTAAGAAATAGAAGGAGGAGACTTCTTTCCTTTTGGCTCCTCAGTGAGGTTTCTCATGGGTGGCTGACCAACCCTGGGAGAAAAGAGGCAAATGAAAGGATTGTAGACCTGTATAAACTGCTGAATCTAACATTCCCTGAGCGGGGCAGCCTGGGTACTGCCTGCTGCCCCGGGACTGTGGTCTCCATCTGTCAGTGAGCACCTTGGTCATGTAGGGAGTCATATTGTGTATGCTCCAGAGTATTCTGTGGATCTCAGAACTCTTACAGCCTGGGGCCTCTGTTTGACCCTGCTGTGAAGAGCTGAGTAAAGGGGGTTGAATTAGGGGTTCCCAGAATCCTTTGGGAGCTGTCAGGTTCTGATGGCCCCCTGCTGAGAAAAGTGTGAACTTAACAACTCCTCAAATAACTGTCAAGAGGAGCTAGGTGAGCTCTTCTTCCTGACTTTCTCCTCCAGCTGATGTTCTCTCTTGTAAGGAGACCGAATCTCCCTAGTAATAATGCTGTACCTCGTGATTTCCACCATTTGTTCTTTGTCTTTTAATCTGTTCTTCCTGTAACCACTATTCATTCTTAGGTGACTTCAAATGTCCTATGTCTCAAGGAAAAAGACAAACATCTTAACCAAAACCAACACAAGGTATTTTTAGGCAGGGACAAGCGCTGCCTAAGAGTCTCCATTTCCTGTTGGATTCTCAGTCCTTGCTCATCACACTCTCTGGACTGAGGTTGCTCTCCGAAGCCCTGGATCTGCTCTGGTTTTCCCTAGTAATAAACGCCCAGCCAAAGAGAAAGGTGTCAAAGCAATCCCGTTGTGTGTTGTGTGAGCAGGGACAAGAGGAGGCAGGAAGAGCACCATCACTTTGGTTCTGGTTTAACACCGTTCACTTGATTTATTAAGAATCCGCTAGAAGTGCTACTACGTCCCAGTTTTCTATGCGTCTCAGCCCTTTCTGGCATCTCACTGTCCTAACTTGTTCTTTTCACTAATGCTACCTCACTGTATTGGCAGAGTGGGAAAAGGACTGAGTTTGCACAGTGCCAAGGGAGTTCTCTTGGCCTGATTCAGTGTGGTAGCAGTGGCTCTGTTTTATGCTGCCCTTGGGGAGATGACAGTTGAGGGTGTGTGTAACCTGTAAGGCAGAATTGACCAACAGTGGGGCTTATTCTACATCTGACCTTCAGCTTAAGGCTGTGTTTCTCCAAGACTGTCCCTCAAAAAATAAAATAAAATAAAATGAAAAACAGGACAGAGCTGGTGTGAGAGCTGAGGCTCTTCTGATTAGTGTTTGGGGGTTAGGAGAGGTCAGGTTGCCTGACAAGGCAATTAGCAGCCAGCAGCGCCTTGCTCAGCTACTGCTCTGTAAGAACGGCAGCTTCCTGCGGATTCTGCTCCGAGTAACCTGTAGATTTTCTTCCTGAGATTACTTCCCCAATTAGGTGACTCTGATCCTGTTCCCCTGTGTTAATTCATTTACTTTCTGGCTTCATTTTATCTGTCATCGTGGAGTTGGTGTAGTCATAGAAACATGAAGGGTTCTGTGCTCATTTAACCAGAACTCATTATCCGGCTCCCCTGGTTGTACTGCGCTCTGCTTCCAACATCACTGAGGGCAGCAGCTTTCTTCCCCTGATTTTCCTTTGCAGCGGGTGCCTCCCAGGTCAAATGGAATAAAAAAAGTGCTAACTGCCTTGCCACCAGCCATGATGGTGATGTGCGGATATGGGATAAGAGGGTGAGTAATCTCTTTTTTTCTCCCCGGTTGGTCTTCGGTCCATCCCAGAGGGTGCGAAGAACATGCCAGGACTTGAGAGTCCAGGGGCCCCTGGGCAGCATGGTGAATGGCCTGGCCATTTCAGGATCCTAATGCCAGCTTATGTTTTCTTCTCAGTCTAGTAAATGTTGAAGGAAGACAAGAAGTGAGGCATTTGATCAGTGGTTTAGAAAGTGAACTTGGCCTGACCTGTGTTAGAGGCCCATTTTGCTGCTCCTCACTTTGACACCAGGAACAAGTGCTCTAGAATAGAATGCTCAGTAGGCTTCTGATCCCTGGCTGTTTGCAAGGTGAAAACTAGTTCCAGGGCGTCTGCTATCCTGAATACTTCTGACATAGATCCGGAGCAGCGTATTCATTATGCTCAAATCCCCTCTTGGAAGTCTAGACACTCCACCAGCCTCAAAATCGCCGGCAGATAGATCAGGTGCTCTCACCGTGGCAGCCCATGTACTCATAAACATGAAAAGGGTGTGGGTCCCAGGCTGCGGCTGTAGTGCAGAGTCTGGAAATTTGGTATGTTGGCCTCCCCCACCTCACCTTCAGGCATCCACAGGGTAATGCTTAGACCAGTCAACACCCGCTCCTGTTTTGTGAGACCTCAGGCAGAGATCCTTAGCCTTTATGGGGAGGGCTCGTCCAGGGGTGTCCTCACAGTGAAGTCTCAGCTCTGCTTCTGGCTGCATTGCTCCCTCCTCCTCTCAGAGGGGCATTGCCATACACATGGAAGAGAAGAGGGAACTGGAGAAGAGATGAGGGTGGCTGATCTGCTGGATTGGCTCATCCCCCACTGGGGAGGCATGTGCTGCCTGAGGCCTCTGCCCTAGGTGGCTCCCAGCTGAGCGGGTGATTTCATAGAGGGTGAACAGGTAGGTACATCTTCTCTGCGTTACTTTTTTCTTCTGTCCCTTTATTT